TTTCCTTACATCAAATCATTTACAAATCATTTACAAATCATAAAAGAAAAAAGAAAAAAAAAACAATTAAAGCTAATTCTAAATTTATAAATTCTGCAGTTTACTACTACTTCTGCGATATACATTTTTTTATGTTTTTTTTTTTTTACGAATTCACTGCATTCGCCGGACGAAGCGGACTTGCATATATCGTGCAAACTTTGCGAGTTCTCTTGTATCTAGAGAGTAGCGGTTATAGGCTCAGAGCACTCAACATATTCTTGTATGTTGTATCATTTTTCTTAAAATACCATAGCCTATTAATTTTCCCGGACTAGTCCAGAGAAAGCAAGAAAGCTACTGTTATAATTTGGTATCAATCGGTTAAGTAGTTTTTGAAATTTTTATGTGGATACAAACATACGCTATCTCTTCACATAATAATACACATACAGTCAGTGTAATAAGTATTCGTACAGCAACCAATTTAAAATAAATGGTTCCTGTACGAATACTTATTACACTGACTGTACTAGTATATACATAATATATAAGATATGCATATGAACTGTATGCATAAAGTCAAAATAAAAAATCAGTCTAACCATAAATTCTAACAGGGTTCGTACTAAAAATATATATTAAACATACAATTTGCAAGTTTAATGCACCAAATACCTATTACACAAATAAATGAATAAGCGTGTTACATACATAGGGTCTACTTTTTAGGTAGCATTAACAATTAACGCGAAGGGAATCAGTTTCTACTCTTTCTGGTAAGACGAAGTTACCACTAACAAAGTTCCTGATCAGTTTTTGTTTTCGAGGGCCCGGTGTATGCTCAAGTAAACCCATACGGTAGTTATGTACGCAAACTTCCTGCGTATTTATTGCACGTCGGGGAATAAGGTCAGGGCTCGGTTTTAAATTAACAGGAAACTCTCCGTAACGAAATTCCAGTTAATTTCACCCCGCTGGTGGCCTCGCCGAAGGGGTGAGAATAATTCCCGAAAATAACACGGACCGTCAGACTTTCGTTGCGGTTTTAATTATAGCCGATTAGCATAGTAGTGGAGGAGTTAGTTAGAGAACAGGCGGGGAGGAGAGGCGTGAAACGTGAAACCCGGCCGCGTTGGAGGAGCCGAGTCAGAAACGAACACGTTGAAAAGCTGCCGCGACCTAAGCGTGGGCGTTACAACCGCACGGAAAGGGAAAGAACTCGACTGGTAGCGTAGTTTCGAGCGAGTTATTCGATTACGCGAATGTCGGCAAATAGGAGACATTGTGGCTTTTCAAGCTGTGCCACATATTCGGAGCAGGTGAACGGATGTCGCGTTGTCAGATCGAACAAGGGGATGAATTTAACGTTAACGCGGATGTTAATGGATTTTAATGCGAATGCAAATGGGGGAATTTTGCTGAAAATTTGGTCATTCTTAGGGGTGTGCGGGATTCCCGAAAATATTCGGGATTCTCGACAATGTACGGAATATAGAATAATATCTGGGATTTCCGAAAGTGTTGTTATTCTTGAAAGTTTCAGGAATCCGAATGTACGGGATTTCGAAGTTCCGGGAATCCCGAACATTTACGGGATCTCGAAATTCCGGGA